CCAGAAGAAGAGACTTCTGTTGAACTCTGCAGCAGCCGTACGGAAACATGGAGGAGACGACCTGCAGCCACTGTTTCTGTCCGCCAGCAGACAGCAGCGCCTCCGCTGGACAGGTACGGAACTGCACTTGGTTTACAAGACCTGTAGCTTTAGCTAACTGTCACACAAAGTTCTGTTTGCTTTTGTGTGACACCTAATTAATTCCATTGTATTTGTGTAGCTCAGTTTACAACATCACAGCCTGGACACAGTCCGGTGGAGACCTTAGAGTTTAAACAGAACCCAACGGTCCAGAGCAGCTTTGGACTTCCTCCGAGCAGGCGGTTAATGAATTAATGACTGAAAATCCGCCTTCAATCTGGAGGAAAACCTCTGTTTGTTCTTGATCGGACCAGTCGGTTCTGGACTGGCCTCTGATGGTGGATTCAGTCTTTAAAGGAGCTGAAAAGTTTCCATTTCCACTCGTTTCACACATCTGATGACGGATGTTGCTGCTTATCAGTCAGCTGAGTATAAACAACAACAAGTGGAAGTTTCTTCCTTTGTGTCAGGTGTCCGCTGATACTGGACCAACCACCAGCTGAGAAATGTTCTGAGTTCCTCCCTAACATGAACCCAATTCCTCGGTTCAGGCTGCAGCTGTTTGACCCGACGGTCCGGGTTCCTGAATGCATGGTTACTGTGAGGAGGTTTCTGGGTCTGTCTCGATTTGATGAGGATTCTTAAAAGCCTCTTGTGTCCAGAACCGAGTGAACAGATGAGCTGCAGAAACAAACCGTCTGAAGTTCGGGTTTCTTGAGTTTCAGTCCTGCTTCCTTCTGGTTCAGAATCACAGCAGCAGCTTTTAAAACCACAAACTTCACACTTCTGCAGAGTTTTCAAGCCTTTACCGGACCTGTGGGCTGGACTGACTGACCGACTGGATTCTGACATATTGTAGACTGAACTAACATCGGATCACTGTCAAGTCCGACTCTTTGGAACAACCTGAACAGAGAAGCAGCTGAAGTCAGAACCTGTTTTCATGTGTTTTGATCAAGTCACGAGAATCTCTTTGTTTTGGTGGAACAGGAAGATTTTATTCGGCTCCACTGTTCAATAAAATCCGTCTCAGAACACATGAAACACGATAAAATGAAGATCTGTGGTTGTTCCCAGAGACTGAACCTTAAACCTCTGAAGTGTGGGGAAGGTTCCGGCCCGGTGGCGCTGCTCGACCCGGGCCACTGCTGTGTGTGATGATCTGTGTTATTCCTGCTCGACTCTTGGTCGTCTTGGCGGTACTTGGCGGACTGTTCATTGGCTCTTACTCCGGCTGCTGTTGGGCTGCACTGTGCTGGAGGCGGTACCGTGGTGACCTAAGGCCCACTAGAGAGCAGCTCCTGCTTCTCCGTCCCAGCCACACACCCACACCTGTCCTACGCCGGAACTGCTTCCAGCCTCGGCAGGTGGAAGAGACACGGCGGAGACTCGCAAGAGGGCGGACAGGCTCCACTGGCCTCGGTACCGACCACTGAAGAGCAAAGTGGACGGACTCAGGACGAACGCCAGGGTTCTACACGGTTCTGCCCGTGCTCACCGAGACGCGAGGAGAGGAAGGCCAACACCAAGTGGTGCTCTCAGTTCACGACGAGGGAATCTGTCTGCCACCCTGGTATCGAGCCGCTACGCTGAAGCTCCAGAACTTTCTATCCGGGCTCCATTCAGCCAAACGGGAACGTTGCACAGTCCCTGTTTGATCTGAGCTGATTGAATCACTGTGCTGAGCTATACCAGAGGGGGAATGTAAAAAACGCATAAACAGCCAAAATGAAACCTCCTTTGGCGACTTCAGACCATCTGCTGTCCATTGGATTCCCGTCTACGAGTCCTTGCTGAGGAGCAGTAAACCTCCAGTGAACCCAGTAAGGAGGCCATTGAGAGTTTCTCCTGAACCAGCTGGACTCTCCTCCAGGACCTGGACGAGGCCTCACATTCAATAACAGTATTTACAGACAAAGAGACAGATATTTACCATAAAAAGAGTTTCTAATTAAAAAGCAAAGATGATGTTCTGACCAGTGAAGGTCATTTATCCTTCTCACACAGTTAAAATGCATGAACTCCAGCCTTCAGTCATGTTTGTAGCTGTCAGACAACACTTAGAAAACAGCCAGTACTAGCCCCTGATTGATCAGCTGATTGATGACCGGATCAGTTCCACAGGGTTCTTGTGGTCTCGTTAATGTGATTGGACCGTCATCAGCAGCTCAGAGTCAGTCTCGTGTGTTTGATCAGGACAGTTCTGATCGATCAATAGAAAATCGGCTTCATGTGTTGTTTGTTAGAAAACGGTGTGTGGACGACTTTCACTTTCTTGACATGTTCTTCAGTATTCAGGGAACCAGAACCGAGCCTCTGAGGCTTAGAAAGCGCTTCAGCTCTTCCCGTATGGACTGAAGATAACGAAGTGTTCAGTCCGGCTGTGTTCAGGTCAAAACACTTCAGCTGAACTCTCTACTCTGGTTCTGTCTTAGAGAAGCTGTTTGGGTTTCACCTCGTTCTCCATCAGAACTCTGGTCCGGTCCAAAGAGCCTCAGACCTCCACCAGCCTCAGGTAAACGCAACCCTCCAGTGTGTCCACATCAGCAGGTTCAGGTCATCTCGTGTCATTTCTGCTTTACAACCAGAAATCTTCTTTACAAACATCAACTTCCTTTGCTGCTCTTATCTTTATTAAATATGTGTTTTCAAAGGTTCTTCACCTGGACTCAGGTTTACCCGCCACACAGGTGTTCTGTCTTCATGAAACAAACGTCGTCATGTTTCTAGTTTTCTTTGTCCTGCCAGTTGTTTTGCTTCTAGTTGACGTTGTCTAGTTATAAGCTGCCTTCATCATGCTGCTTATCTTTTGTCTTCAGGTCTTTGTTTCTGCTACGGTTCGTCTTGTGACTTGTTGTAGCTGCTGCTTGTCTTTGTACCGCTGGTTAAGTGTGGGTTAGGGTTCTGCCTCCATCACAGTCTGATGATGAGAACTGAGGAGAAAGTCCACAAAAGCAGAGATGAACGATGTCTCTGAGCTCTGCTGTGTTTCAGGGCGATGGATGGGGAGAGCCCGGTGGACGAGGACCACGTTTCCCGTCTGCAGGTGGAGAACGACCAGAAAACTCCGGAACAAAAGGTAGAAGAAGAAGAAGAAGAAGAAGAAGAAGAAGAAGCTCTTCATCAGTCTGGAGAAGATCCTCACTGTGACTCTGCTCCCTCTTCAGCCACGGTTGGGTTCAGTTTGGTGTCAAACCAAGTGTCTCACCTCCATCTTCATCTCACCTTCATCATCCTCACACCTGGCTGCTCTGTTCTCACCTGTCCCTGTAGTATCCGGTGCTCTGCGACTGCCTTCATGCCTCCATCCACGAAAGAGAAAACAGTCCAATGATGAGAGCAGGTGAGACTCAGATAACACAGGTGTGTTCATGATGCTGAGCTGCTGTCTGACTCCTCCTCCCTCACCTGTGCAGCGCTCTGTGCTCAGGTGTGTAAGCTGTACAGGTTTCAGGCTGAAAGCCAGAGGTGGCTGCTGGTGAGGGAACAGATGTCCGAAACGCCGCTGTCTTTGTCTTTACCCAAACAGCTACTGAGCATGCTCATACAGGAGCACACAGACAGGTGAGTTCTGAAGATACTAATGCCATCCACAGGTGAGAAAATCTGAGGATACATGAGGATACATGAACGTTGCCTTTCTCTCCGAATCATCTGAGCTTAAAATGATTTAATCAAAATATTTTTTATTCCACATGTCTTATTTTAAAATTCACCAAAAATGAAGTGTTTTCTTGAACCAGATTCTGCAAAGAACATAAAAATCTGAGACATGACATCACTACACTTTCTGACATGCAGCCAATCACAGCGCAGATCTGTAATCTCGTCTTTCACCTGCGGCGGTCGCAGCTGTTGCAGGACTCACAGCAGCCTTTTCTTTTTCAGGGTCCAGGAAGTGACGGAACTGGGCGACCTATCGCCTCACTGGGATGGGCTTCGTCGTGATGTCATCAGCCACTGTCACCACCTGATTGGCTGTTACCAGGAAACACTGGCTGAGCTCGACAAACTCTCAGGTGAGTCAAAATTGTTTTGTTTGTACACCAGTGTTGTTCCAGAGAGGCTTCATCAGAGTGATGGGTGGAGCCAGGATTAGCTTAGCTTAGCATAAAGACTGGAAATGGAGGGAAAAGACTAGCCTGGCTCTGCCCCTAGCAGCCAGTCGCTGTGTGAGTCATTTCTGCTCCCCAGTCAGCGTCTTTACCTGAACACGTTACTTTGTTCCTACCAACAGCGTCGTCTTGTTTCAAAGTGAGCAGCGCTAAGTCGGATCGACACCTCCAGTTCGTTCCAACCAACCTTCACTCTCAGAGGATGGAGGTCACCAATCCAGACAGCTCAGGTTCTTCCAGCTGCTTCTTCTCACTGCTGCATTCTTCTGTTCTTCACTTTCATACTTCTGTTTGTCTGGACGCCAGTAGCTGCTGTTAGTTCACCTATCGGCTCTGTCGCTGCTCAGAAATCTAAGTGACTGTTTCACTTCTTGTTATTGTGACAAACTCTGTGTGGCTGTAAAAACACAACAAGTATGAAGTACATCATGTTTGTTGTCAGACAGCGTCATAAAATCAGTGTGTAAATGACATGATGCTGGTGAACAGGTCGTCCGGATGAGCTCCACTGTTTCATCCTGGTTCTGTGACTGACAGCAGAAACATGAGGAGATAGCAGCAGCTTCATCGTGAGTTCAGCTGCATTCAAAGGCAGTGGTCATGTAGAGGTGAAGGTAGTGAGCACCGAGAGCAGGAGAGGAACTGCAGATGGAAACAGCAGCCAGCAGTGTTTCTCCTCATCAGACAGAGTGAAAACCTGCTTTATGTTCTGGATCGGACTGCAGCCTCCATTTATAAAACTGTAGCAGCCGACCAATGAGTGGTGCCGAAACCCTGACGTCAGGAAGCAACAGTCAGTGGAAGAAAAACCGTAGCTTTAACAAACCAAACACACCAAACTAAAGCAAATGTCAGCAGAAAGTGTTGACTCATTCCCAGCATCATTCTAACGAATCCCAGCAGCGCTGTGTTCATGTACCTGCGTCTCTCCTCAGGTGTTTGGTATGATGTCATCACCTTTGGCGCTCCAGCTGATCACCACCAGGCCTTCAAACATGGAGGCCTGAGGAGGCTTCTGAGCAAACACACAAACCACAGGTATCACTTCAGACTGCTGTCTCTGCATTCATTCCTTCTGCAGCAGCTTTTCTATCCATCTCGTTATAACGTGCCCCGTTAATCTCTGTAATCTCTGCTCTGTCAGGATTAGAGCCGCTGCATCGGAGGTTTGTAGATTAGCACCGAACACTTTGCATTTTATTTGGATCTGTCAGAACAGCAGGTTTACACAGAGTGCAGCAGCTCACATGAAAAGAAACGTAGAAACAAAAACACTGTTTTAGAAAAAGAGAGTTTTATAGATTCTACATGTTGGATGTTTCTCTGCACTGGGTTTGTATCTGCTGTAAACTACATTCACCTCATCACAGATGTTCAGATGCACTGGTACAACTTTTCCAACGTGACTTTAAATCAGATTTGGTTTGCTTGGAGCCCAAATAGATGTGATTAGTTTTGGTTCTGAAGTGGGCATCCATCATCTGGGTCAGATTAGAAGACAGTGCAGGTCAGCGGGGTGACATTTTTAACGGGCATCAACATGAGCGTGTTTTATGTTTGAATGTGCACATGTATCTGAAAGTGTCCGAACTGACCACTGCATGGAAACGAAGCCTGGTTTTGCTCGATACTGTCATCCTTTGATTCAGCTTTCCTTCCCCTGAATGAACTCTTCCCCTGCAGCTCCGTGTTTTACTCCCAGGACGAGAGCTCCAGAGCCAGGGAGCTGCTGGCCAGCGTGGCCCAGCTGCAGCCTCTGGTCTTTGGCCTGTCTGAGGAGCTTCTCTCCGTCTCTCTGGAGGTGAACGTCGTCCAACTTCAGAAGGTCCTGGACGGTCTGATCCAGCAGGTGAGGAGGCAACAAAACCAGCAACCCTCCTCTGGACAGATACTAATCTGATGCAGCCTTTCTCCACCAGACCGACCAGTTTGTTCATACACTCAAAGATGAGCTGGTGAAAAACGCCCTGCTGGCGATCCACGAGCAGCAGACCTGCAGCCACGCTGACGGCAACGGGCTGCTCTGTGAGAACCTGCCAGCCAATCAGGAGGGGCCGCCGTCGCCAGGACAAGCGGACAGACGATGTGATTCAGAGTACGACCAGGAAGAGTGGGCAAGTTGGAGATGTTCTGATCCAGTTTTATCTGCGCCAAATCTGATCAGTCATTTTATATTTAGTCCGAGTCTGACACCATTATGTAAATGTAGAGTCAGAGGGTAGATGTAGAGTCAGAGGGTAGATGT